GGGCCCCAGCTAGATTCAGAGTGGGTCTGAGGACTAGGGGGCCCTGGGGCCTTTAGCCTGGGCTTCTGCCTCCTTTCCCCCACCCCTAGACCCATGCTTTTGTTGTTCTCTCTACCACTCTGGGTCCCTTCTGCCGCCTACTGGGCCCTGACTGGCTGTGGGGGGGGGGGTGGCACTTGAGGCCTCCTCAAGGTCTGAGACCCAGGCACTGGCACTGTCCGGTCCCTACTCAGGCACGGCCTTCCCGTCGGGGTGCAGGCAGGGAGGGGGATCCTGTCCTGGTACATGCTGTGTTAGCAGGGAGCGGCGCCCAGCTGCAAGCCAGGCAGGCGAGATGCTGACTGTAGCTGGCTGGCCTCCCAGTCTGGCACATCAGAGGGTCGAGGCCCCCACTCAGCCCAGCCTTGGAGACCTGGACCCCAATCTAGGTAAACTGGGGTATCATGAGGATAGACAGATGCCGCTGGCCTGACAAGAAACCAGGGATACACAGAAAGACCCCCTTAATTGCAGGGGGGGCGGTAAATAGCAACGACAGTCACAAGGAATCCTCTGGCCCAGAGAACAGATACACACATGCTTCCCAAAGAAACAGATGCGTAGACCTTGCAGGACAGAGATGACAGGCCCCTTAGCCCTGAGGACAGACTCAGAAATAAAGCCCATCCCCATCCCAACTTGGCCAGAGACAAACACACAGACCTTCGCAGAGAAGGACACCCGCCACCCTTCCCCAACACAGAGGGACAGATCCCCGCAGCCTCAGGGAGAACAGGCTACATACAGACATACTAACTCGGGAGCCGGGGCCAGGTCTAGAAGCTGCCTGATGAGGTCGGGGCTGGGAGGTGCCTCTTTCTCACGCCCTCTGCCACTCTGTCGGAAGCCCAGCCATTTCCTCTGCCTCGGAGGAGGGGGTGTTGGGGTGGGAGACGGAGGAGCCCCTGCCCAGGGTTTCAGGGGGCAGATGTCAGAAGTCGACAGCTGATTCCCCTCAGCCCCACAGCCTGGCCAGGGTTAGAGGGTCAGCAGACAGCGTGCTGGCTACCTCGCCAGGCTAGGCACCGTCAGGAGCCCCCGGCCTGACGTCAGTCCCACTCATTGTTGTTGCTGGGGCTTGAGTCACTCCCTGTGACGCCACTGGGGTCAGCTCCGGAGCGACTGGGGGTGGCCTGCAGGGCCAGCTTCAGGGCTCAGCACTCCCCTGGGCACACGCTAGGATGGGGTGGGGCCATCCAAGGCCACACTCACTGCGCAAAGCCAGCTGCTTGCTCCCAAGGTCTTGGGTTGGCCTTCAAGGGCCCTTCACAGGCGTCTGCTGCTCTCTGGCTCTGAGGGCCTCAGCCGGCCGCCCGGCTGCCTGGCTGGCCATGGTGCTGGGCTCTGACTGAGAAGTCCGCTCTCTCTGTCTTTGCCTCTCCTGCCTCAGAAGCCTCAGTTTCCACCCTCTGTTCTCAACGAGACCTCTCCTGCAAGCCTTTTTGCTTCCCCTTCTTCAGGAAGCCCACCCCCCATAACTCCCTGTAGTTCCACTTCTTTCTGGAACCCCTCCCCCCTTCCTGCCCATCCCCTCACGTTGCTACCCTGGGCTCTCTGCAGCCTTCCCATCTTTCTTCTGGTGTCCCGTCACCTCCCACCTTGCGGAGAGCAGTGTTCGGGCTTGCTTTTCCACTCTCAATGTGTCACTTTCTCTCCCACAGGGATCTCTCGAGACTGACAGTAGTAGACGCCATCTTGGCCCCTTCAGGTCCCGGTAGAGACTGCTGCCATTTCTTTCGACCATGTCTTGTGTTCTCTTGCTGAGATGGATGCCTTGGTCCATTTCCTCTGCCAGACTTTGAGCTCCCAGAGGGCCGCATTATGACTTGTCCACCTTGGTATGGCAAGTGGACAGTTACCTCTGTGTGGCATGAATGAATAAGTGAATGAATAAACAACTGCATCTTGAAGAAGCGCCTGGCTGGCTCAGTTGGTAGAGCATGCGACTTTTAATCTTGGGGCTGTAAGTTCGAGTCCCACAGATAGGTGCAGAGATTGCTTAAAAATGAAATCTTAAAAAAAAAAAAGATTACATCTTGCTTGCTCATCAAGGGAGGGGTTTAGGGTGGGATAATTCATTCCACATGGCTCACTTTTTGGGCCAAGACCCTCCGTCATCCCTGACAGGATCGTCCGCATGGGCATAGGACCCAAAGTCTAAGGTGCAGTGAGAGCTGCCTTGAAAGAATTTGGGGAGGTACAAGGAGGCAGCATCTGGCCCCAGACAAGCAAGGTGAGAGGGCTCAGTTTCATCCTCAGGCAGGGAAGGCTCCAGGGATGGGATGGGTTTTGGAGGATGGACCAGAGTGGGTATAATGAGGCTGGAGAAGCATGCGGCCTTGGCTATTGTATTTGCCAGGGTTCTACAGGGAAACCTAACTAATAGGGTGCAGATCTATAGGAAGAGATTTATTATGAAGAAATGGCTCATGTAATGATGGAGGCTGACAAGTCCCATGATCTGTAGCCAGCAAGCTAGAGACTCAGGGGGGCTGAGGGTATAGTTCCAGATGCTGACAAGCTGGAGACCCAGGAAGGGCAGATATTCCAATTCAAGTGTGAAAGTGGAAAAAAAATACCAATGACCCAACTTGAACTCGAAAGCAGTCAGGCAGAAGGCGTTTTCCTTACGCACGGCAAGGTCAGCCCTTTTATGCTAGTCGGCCCTTCAACTGATTTGATAGGGCCTGCCCTCATGAGGGAAGGCAGTAATCTGCTTTACTCAAGTCTACCAGATTCAGATGTTAATTTCATTTAGAAAACACACTTACACAGATGCGTCCAGAATGTCTGACCAAATGTCTGGGCACTATGAGGCATAGTCAAGTTGACACATAAAATTAGTTATCAAAGTAAGTTACAACTTTATCACTGAGCTTCAGTTTCATTATCTGTAAATTGAGGGCAAATCCTATTTACCTTCACACGTAGTTGGAGAAATCAACACAGTAGTGCATTTGAACTGCTGGCCTTGTGCCTTGTAAGGATCAGTGTTAGGTAGTAGGGATGATTATGAAGTCAGGATAGTGGCTTCGAGGGACCTTGAGATGGAGGGTGTCAAGGGTAGAGGAGCGATCAGCCACTCCCTTCACTGACAGTCTCTGGGAGTTAAGTTCTGATCCCCCCCACCCACCCAGGGGGGTTCTAACCTCCTTGGGCCCCCCTCTTTTGGCTCTTCACACGCTCTCCCCTCCCAATATTTTATGCTGATTCCCTCCTGGTTAAGCTCACGCTCCAGAAGAGGTTGCTGGTCTGTAAGGCAGGGAGCTTTCTCCTTGCTGAGGCTCTAGAGTTTTCAGAGGCTGCCTGGGGAGAGGTGGCTGCAAAGACAAACCAGACACCAAGACTTCACAACTAGGGGAAGGCAGGGGAAGAGATAGGGAACAGATGAGGAGGGGGGAAAGGTCAGCCAGAAAAGGAGTTGTGCAGGGGGAGGTTAGAAAATCTGGATGGGAGGGAGGAAGCCTTAAGTGTGTGTGCGGGTGTGGTTAGTGGTATCCTGGAGCCAGCTGCTGCTGGTACTGATACTCGGAGCCCATTTTATCTCTGATGATCAAAATGTGATCCTTTCTTCATTCTGGACCCTGCATTCAGTGATGTCCTGTAGTTTTAAATCGGCCATCACTGGCAAACGTTGCTAATGAAGGTATTTTCCCGCTAGAGAGCTGGCTTTGGATGGGGAGTATTGGAGAATGGTATTGTGTGGGGAGGATTAGGGTGGAGAAACCAGAAAGAGAACTTGGGTAGTGGTATCGAATCCTGCATTTGATTCCCAGGCTCTGTCACTGGGTGACCTTGGGCTAGTTAACTTAACCTCTCCCAGCATCCCGTTTCTTTATCTGCCTTCTAGGTTTGATTGATGTCAGGCTTACATTAATTAACATACACAAACCACTTAGAATTATGCTCTGCACAGTCCACTCAATAAACGTGATCTGTTATTATTTTGGGAGAGAAAATGCATGTTAGGAAAACGAGCATCCTAATCCCCAAATAAACAACACAGGGGTGCCTCCTTTGGGGCATGCCAGGCTCTGCGGCCATTAACAAAACAAAGGATAAACTTCTGCCTGCCCTGGGCTTACAATCTACATGGAATACCAGATATGCTCCCAGGAATTACAGAGCACTAAAAATGCACTCACATTCGCTTAACACTTTGCATTCCACAAAGGTCTTTTATATGAATTATCTCTCGTGATTGTCACAACAGCGCCTCACTTATACAGGAGAAAATCAGAAAGCATGGGTGGCGTCAAGAGGCTCACACAGGGGGTATGGCAGAATTACGAGGTTTACAACTATCACCGGATCGGTCATGGTAGAGCATCAAGTGGTGCTCCTGTATGAAGATAACCGAGTAAGGTTAAGACCCTTTCTCTCTCCAGCATTGTGGGGCCAGGCCAGGGACCCTGTCTATTGTGCACACTGGATAAGCTAAAGTTTTGCCATCCGTTCACCATCATGCAGCGCACTGGCTTGGACTCATCTCCAGACCACCTCTCCAAATGGCACGCCCTTCATCTTGCGGGATAGGTGCCCCGTCGAGGGCCCTGCGCCCCGAGTTGGGGACCAGGTCTGCGTCCCAGGAGCTGGCTCGCCGGCGATGACTCCTCTCCCCTTTGGGAGGCGGCACAGAGCTCACTGGCCTCTCTTTCCCTCTCATCTCTATGGCGGAAGTGCGTCGTCCCAGCCGAAACACAACATACTCGGTGGTGGGAGTGAATGGATTCGCCTAAACGAGGGGGATACTTCTCACTCTCAAATCTTAACATCCGAAAGACAATCAAGAAAAAAAGTCGCATGTTTTTACGGAGCAGTATGTGGCTCCCTGCGTCCGCCGGCGGGACTGTAAGGCGGAGCGGGCGGCTGCGCTGGCGGCGGGGCCCGGCCGGCCGGTGTTCGCGCCCCCGCCTGAGGCCGACGGAGCAGGTGGAACCCGCCCGGCCGGCGAGGGCCGAGGCCCGGACTTCCGCCGCCGGCACCGCCTCCTGCCGCGGTGGTCTGGCGCTAGTGGCTAGGGCAGCTGAGCGGTCGTGGGCTTTCGGACGCGGACTCGGGGAGGTGGGGGACCGTTCCAACCGTCTGCCCCCTTCCCCGGTGCAAGCGCGGGAACTCCCCGGGCCGGCGGCAGCGACGGCGCGCCTCGAATTCCCGAGCGCTGCCGGGGTGGGCGCGGGGCGCCGCCCCCGGGACCTCGGCAGGCAGTTCCTCCCCGACCCTGGACCTTGGAGGGTCGGGAGTAGTGGCGGTGGGAGAAACGGGATCCGGGAGGAAAGGCCTTCCCGCGGCCCGCCAGCTTGTCGCTGAGCGTGTTGACGCTGAGCCTTCTGTTTTTGCTTTCAGGCCATCCCTAGCGCTCAGCCGCGGGCGCGGAGTTTGGAGCGCACCTGCGGAGCGGACACCTGCGCGTGTGGAAGAGGAGGAAGGGCATGGTCAGCGCCTGAGTCACCCGCGCACCAGCCTGTACGCGTAAGTGGGCATGGGGTACCCTGGGCTCCAGCATGGCCAGTGCTCTGCAGACCCCCACCAGAGGGGTGCGACTTCTCGGGCCCTGCCCTGGTGGTCTCCCTGCTCAGCGGAGGCGGGGGTGACGGGAGGGGACAGACCGGAGGTGGCTTGCGGTGTTGCTGGAGTTGGTCAGTACTGGCTTCCTGCAGGAGTGTTTCCTACAACAGTGCTTAGAAAGAGCGAAGAGCCTGGGTGTGGGGCAAAAGAAAAAAGTGGCCTGGTTTCTTAAAAAAGTTTCTGAAACATGTTTATTTTTGAAGAGAGAGAGAGAACACAAGGGGCAGGGGGGAGTGGCAGAGAGAGAGGGAGATGCAGAATCAATCTGAAGCAGGCTCCAGGCTCTGAGTCGTGAGCACAGAGCTGGATATGGGGCTCAAACCTATAAGCTCAGAGATCATGACCTGAACCGAAGTCCAAGGCTCACTGACTGAGCCATCCAGGTGCCCCAGTGGCCTGTTTGAAGGTTTGTGGGGGACACTAGAGGGGGAAGTGGTGGAAGAAGGGGAGCTGGACCGGAACTGGGAGTATGATTGGAAGGACATGAGTAGAGGGCAGAACTGAGTGGGAGAACCCTCTTCTTCCTGAGTGTAGGAGCCAATCTAGCAGCCCTCAGAAGGACCTGGAGCTCCTGGGTCAGGGTGAATTGAGCAGTTACTTTGTACTGGGTTCCAAGTACTAAGCTTCCAGTTTTGAGTATGATCCCGTCCGTGCCCTCAAGGAACGTCCGAGTGGGAGAGACGAGACAGGATAACAGCTGTGAAGAGATGACTGTTGGTCGCCAAGTGAGAGGTGAAGCAGCTTGATCACTCACACTGCCCCGTGCCTACTGCTGAGCACTGCTCTTTCATGGGGATTCAGACAAACTGAAATACACCTAGGAGAGAGCTGCCAGATTAGATGTCCTGTCCAGCTGGCGTGTTGATGGGGACTGGGGACCCTTAACCCGTGGTTGGGGTAAGGGGTGACGGAAGGTGTGTCTCCAGGTATCAGAAAGGCATATTAGCAGAAAAGGGGTGAGATTTATTCCGTGTGGCATCAGACCTGTGACCAGTAGTTAGGAGCGCCTGGCTGGCTCAGTCAGTAGAGCACGTGACTCTTGATCTCAGGGCTGTGAGTTTGAGGCCCATGTTGGGCGTCAAGATTACCTGAAAGTAAAATCTTTGAAAACCAGAACCGGAACAAAAGCTACTATAACCAGTGGTTTGAAGCGGCAGATATTCTGTAGGAGGAATAACTGGGGAGAGCTGTCCAAAGATGAAATGGTCTGGTGCGAGAGGTGGCTGAGCTCCCTGTCCGGGAGGTTTGTAAGCTGAACCCTCAGCAGGAAACTTGACTGTACCTTGTCCTTCAGGGCTCCTATTGTTACTTACTGAGGTCTGGTTCTCAAGTCTGGTCTTTCCTTTCCACTCTGTTCCCCAGTGCTGTATTGTAGCCTGTATCATTTCCGGCAAAAATGATATTATAATGAATCATAGCGGCTAATACTTACTGTTTACTTCCTGCCAGGTACTGCGTTAAGCGCTTTACGGGTGCTGACTCATTCAAACCAAGATAGTCCTTTCAAGGTAGATTTCATTAATATCCCCTTTATATAGATTTGGGGAAACTGAGGCACAGTGGAGTCCAGCAGCTTGCCCAAGATCACAGAGGGAGCAGCTGGGGTTCCAGCCTGGGCTGTCTGGCTTTAGAGCATTGTCCTTAACCACCATTCTGCTGCATTGTACGTATGTAATTTGACTTGATCCTCACAAGAATCCAAATTTACAGATAGAACACGCTCAGAGAGGCTGAGTGATTTGTGTAAAATCACAGAGCAAGGTAGAGGAGGGCCGGGGTCCAAACCAGGACTGTTGGACATGAAAACCCCCACGCTTTGCACTTGACTCCCCCACATCCCATCGTGCTGCCTTCGTAACTGTCCCTACTGTCATGGCCTCTAACTGGACTTCTTGCCCAGCCTTCCTGCCTTCAGTCTGGGAGTTTCCACCTCAGAGTCTGTGGATGGCCCTGGAACTAGGTGAGATTTGCGGTGTGTGTGCATGTCTCAGTCAGGTGTTAGAGCCCGGTCTTCATAGTTTTTACTGCTTGCTCAGAGCAGTGTCTGACCACAAAATAATTCCGAGCCGTTCTCTGGCTTTTATCCAGAGTTAACGTTCTGATGCCCAGATTTGACCTTGGCACAGTGACGCATCGACTCTTCCCTGCCCTCAGCACAGTCCAGATGCCTTAACCTGGTCATTCAGGGCCCCAGTCAGACTCCACTCTCCCTTTTCTTCTTACTCCCACCTTGTACTCTTGCCACTCCGGTAGCATTTACCTGCCTTTCTCTCCTGCATTCCTGCGGCCTCTCCAGGGCAGAGGCTGTGCTTGCCCTTGAACGGCCAGTGCCTGACGGATGTCGCACAGCTATTGTTTGCTGTCAGCTGGGCTGAACGCTGTACCGGGGACAAGCCATGGCTGGTTGTTTGGGCTGTAACTTTGAATCTCTCGCCCTTTCTGGTCCCAAGAATCTTTCTGATGGAACGTGTTGTCAAAATGCAGAGAAGGGCCACGCAGGAGGAGCCTGGCTGGGCCGGGAAGGACGCGACAGGTATTGAGAAGGTGTCCGCCTTCTGACGTGGCTGCTCTTGCAGGGTGGCCCCTGGCTGCGGTGAAGAGCCCCTGTCTTTATTCCTGTCCCACACCGTGGTGTGGGCCACCAGCTGCGGGATGAACTGTCGCTCGGAGGTGCTAGAGGTGTCGGTGGAGGGGCGGCAGGTGGAGGAGGCCATGCTGGCCGTGCTGCACACGGTGCTTCTGCACCGCAGCACCGGCAAGTTCCACTATAAGAAGGAGGGGACCTACTCCATCGGCACCGTGGGCACCCAGGATGTGGACTGTGACTTCATCGACTTCACCTACGTGCGCGTCTCCTCTGAGGAGCTGGACCGTGCCCTGCGCAAGGTTGTCGGGGAGTTCAAGGTAGGGGTGTGGCACGGGGGGTGGCAGGTGCACCTCAAATTCCTCTCATCCGTGGCTTGTGGTTGGACCCTTTCTGGGTGGTCCTGTCGGCTTCTTCCAGGTTCTAAGGAGCAGGCATGGTCAGCGCTTCTTGGGGAGGGGGTGGGGAGTGATGGCATCAGGTCCCCCAGAGTGATCCCTGCCCGCATGGTCTTGACCTGTCTGACTGTCCAGCTCTCTCTGCCGACATCTTTTCTATGCTCCCACTTCTCACTTCAGCAGTCTGGGCCTTTTCCAGGCAAAGTTCCCTGCCAGGGAGGGTTGCTGGGGCTCAGGTGATCGCCATCTCGCCATTGGGTGGAGTGCCCCTGGGCAAGGGAGGGCACATGAGGCTGCGGCGGGAACGGAGATGGGGTTGTTTTAGGCTTTAAAGTCAGAGGGAATTTTTTTAAGGGGCTGTCTCTGAGGTCAGTGGAGGAGGGTTGCCTGCCTGCCTTCCAGTCCACACACGTTCGGAGAGCCCCCACACTGTGCCAGGCATCCCGTGCTCATGGCAGGAGGTGGACCCCGTCGCAGGCCGCAGTGTCTCCCTGCCATCACTCTGCAGCCCCTCTGAGACCAGGAAGGGCAAACTCATGAGTTTCCCAGTCCCTCAAGGGAGGCAGTGGTAGCCTGGCCTCTGTCCTCCAGGCGCCCACGAGGCATGTGGAATGTAATGGTTTAGAGCGTGGATTCTGGAGCTAGGCTCTACCAGCCAACAAGCCTGTGACCTTGGGCATGTGACTCCACTTCAAGTTTATTTATTTTGGGAGAGACAGAGACAGTGTGAGGGAGGGAGGGGTAGAGAAAGAGTGAGACTCCCAAGCAGGCTCCGAGCTGCCAGCACAGAGCCTGACGCGGGTTTGAACTGAAACCGTGAGATCGTGACCTGAGCTGAAATCAGGAGTCAGACGCTCAACCAGCTAAGCCACCCTGGCGCCCCTCCTGCATCTCTCTAGTGTCGGATTTTGTTGGTTGGCTTGGAGCGCTCAAGTTTAGGCCGGCAGGCTGCTGTGTCATTTTACATGAATACTTTACTGTCTGCGGGTCTCCTTCCCTACCCTCCTCGAAGGACTGAAAAAGCCAGGAGAGCCTGCTTCCCTGAGGTGTAGGAAGCGCACAGCAAGAGCTCCCCCACCGCCGTGGCCCACTCACCCGTTACCCCTCCCTCCCCAGGATGCGCTGCGCAACTCTGGGGGTGACGGGCTGGGGCAGATGTCCCTGGAGTTCTACCAGAAGAAGAAGTCTCGCTGGCCTTTCTCGGACGAGTGCATCCCTTGGGAGGTGTGGACGGTCAAGGTGCATGTGGTAGCCCTGGCCACCGAGCAGGAGCGGCAGATATGCCGGGAGAAGGTGGGCGAGAAGCTCTGCGAGAAGATCATCAACATTGTGGAGGTGATGAACCGGCACGAGTACCTGCCCAAGATGCCCACGCAGTCGGAGGTGGACAACGTGTTCGACACGGGCTTGCGGGACGTGCAGCCCTACCTCTACAAGATCTCCTTCCAGATCACTGACGCACTGGGCACCTCGGTCACCACCACCATGCGCAGGCTCATCAAAGACACCCTTGCCCTCTAGGCCTTCCTTGACGGCCTGCAGACTTCGGCTTCTGGGGGTTGTACTGTTGGGCCCTGGGCGCCTGGGACCCCGACCCAGGTGCTTGATGAGACTTGGGATGGCCACCCCTGGCTTCCTTGTTTAGCGGTTGCCGGTCTCCGGTTATCCTTCCCACCTAGGCTGATGGTCGATTCTGGCCCTCGCTGTCTCTGCACGCCCCTGGAGGGGGTCCCCTTGCTCCTCCGCTATACGGGAGAGCCGTCGCTAGGACGATGAATAAAGTTGAGAACGTGAGTTCGGGTTGAGCCATCTCTCCCTTGGCGTGCATTCGGCCTGGAAACGTTCACACTTCCTGACAGACCTGGGGGACACAGATGTGTGTTGAGGGTGTTACTCCAACATGAAGGGGGGATAGGATTGAAACTGACCAATTTAGTGCTTTGTGGGACCTTCACATAAGTGGGTGGTAACCATTCAGGTGTCACTGTGTCCCTCCTCTGAATGATGACACAGGTCGGGATCTGTTGCTTTTGGATGGGACTGCGCTGTTTCTTCTCCCTCCCTAAGGTAGCTGTGATATCCCCGCCCTTTGTATTATCTGGTCTTGTTTCATGATGGCCTCCAGAAGGACCTTTTCTGGCTTCATAGAGCACGGACAAGTCCCCACGTGCACCAGAAAGCTAATTTGGTTTGGGCTTCCTTTCTTTGGAGATTGAGACTGGTGTCTGAGAAGTGGTCCAGGTGGGGCTGGGCCTGGCTGGTGGTTAGGACACTGCTTGGTTAACATACTTGTTCCTGCAACAGCATACTCACCATCAGTGAACGCCTTGTTGGGTGCTTTTTACTGATTTAGTCTATGTTTTACAGCCCTTTTGGGTTGTATGTGGGCAGTTCTGCCCGGCCAGATGGTGTGGGTGGGCGGGGGTCTTGGGTCCTGGAGCAGGTAGATAGCCAGATGGCCAGGAAGTGTTCGCACGTTTTTCTCATTCCAAGTCACCGGGCCCTGTGATATTTCACCACAGATCTGGTGTAGTCTTGCCTTTGATCTCTGGAGCATTGGGAGACTTCAGGAGGTTGTCAGGGCTTTGGAGATGGGGAAGGGCACTTCCTAGCAAGCCCTTGATGGTGTGTAATCCCTGTCTGGCCCGCTGCAGCCCCAGGGACCATTTTCCTCCTAGCTGGCCATCAGCTAATCCCTTCTGAGGGGTTGGTTGACTGATAGAGGTGTTTGTTGGCAGTGACTTTGTTTTTAAACAGCCCAGGGTTGCTGTCTTTTCAGGAGACCTGAGCAGGAGGGTCTTCATTCCATCGCAGCCTTTTGAGACTTTCTACTTTTCTGCAGCCAGACTTTGCTTCCCTGCCCTGCCCCCCTCCAGGTTGGCTGTGGGCCACCCAGCGGGCAGTGAACTCCCCTTGGTGGACCTTGGTGGACCGGCAGCAACATTTCCATATTTCCATTCCTTTTGGCATTATAATTTCCTGCAGGTAGGGGACTGATTGACTCAAGGTCAGGGCAGGAGCCCTGGTGACTCAACTATGTTTTCTCATTGGTTGGGTAACTCCTTGACCTCTGGGATCTGCGCAAAAGAATGGGGGTAGGACTTGAAGCCTTCCTAATTGCCCCTCCTTCCATCTCTTCTTGCTGCCGGCCAAGGAGGCACTGGCCTGCTTGTCCAGCTCTGAGAGGCTCCCAGAAGGCATGACAGAATAAGGACTCTCATCCCTCAGGTCCTAGAGGCTGCTCATTTGTCCCCTGTTCATGTGGCCACCTGGGCCACTTAGCAGAATTGAGCTTTGGCCCAGGGACAGCCCAGGATGCTTGCTTGTGTCCTGCTTAGTGGGGGGCACCCTAGCCAGCACCTGGGGTGGGGTCTGGAAGGCCTTTTCAGAGTTTTGAGGGAGGTTCTATCTCTTGACTTCTTTGCCAAGGGAGAGGGAAAGTCTTGGGGACCCGAATTCCTGGGTTTGGCTGGTTGAGTGCATGGGCCAGATTCCCATGTGTGGCTGTAGAGGCCTTTGAGACCGGGAGAAATAACCCCGCGGCCTGGGAGTCTGGGCCATAGTCCACCCCGGAGGATCCTGAATGCTCAGTGTGGGGTGGGAGCCTACAGCGCCTGGGACCCGCCCCTCGGGGACCTCCCCTCTGCAGCCCAGCGAGGCCCGCCCTCCTGATTGGGCTCCCGCACATCTGGCCCTCCCCTCACATCTGGGCAGCCGTGCCTTAGCATGAACGGCTCCCGGGCACCAGCCACCTGGCTGGGCTGCTGCAACCAGTCGGGGGTGCTGCCTGAGCCCCCAGAGGGGCTGCGCGTCGTGCAGGCGGTGGTGCTGGGCGTGCTGTCACTGCTTGTGCTCTGCGGGGTCCTCTTCCTGGGTGGCGGCCTCCTCCTCCGTGCGCAGGGCCTCACGGCCATGGTGCTCCATGAGCGGAGCGCATCCCATGAGGCCGAGTCCAGTGGCGCTGGTGGAGGCGACGACGACGATGACTCCTAGGCACCCCTGTGCTCCAGAATGAGGGTCACGGCCTCCAGGCGGCCCATGACTTGGCGTCGGGAGGCTGCTGTGGAGAGCGGGACTCGGCGTCCTCCCCCTGAGCCTGGTGCCGAGCAGGTGAGAGTGCACGGGGGCGGAGTGGGGGGCAGGTCTTCAGCGACTCTGGCTAGGCTCTGCACATCCGCAGGGTGGGGCCTGCAGCCACCCCAGATGTGCCAGGACCTGAGGGAAGAGGCTGCCACCCTCTCTTCTCCTGATCTCATGTCTCCTCTGGCGGCACTGCACCCCAATGTCTTTTTTCTAGAAGAACCAGTCACATGTGTGAGGGGGTGGATCAGAGGGCCCTTCTTCCCTGAGCCCACCCCCAACACTGCTCAGCCCCAGGGGAACTGAGGCCCAACTCTGCAGTGCCCCGGCACTGCCTGTGCCACTGGGAGGCCCAGGAGAGATACTGCCACTGAGACAGACAACCCAGGCCTCTGACCGCTGCTTCCCCCTTCCTTCCTGAAGCCTAGTCTCTAGAAGGGGCTTTGAGTGAGACTCCTCACTATGCCCTCTCTCGCCATAGGGGTGGGAGTGTGGGTCCTGGTTTATGGTGGAGCTAGGGGGCCTGGATGCCTCTGGGGGGGTGCCGGGGAGGTGTGGCGGGGTCCCCCCTCTCCCAGCCCCTGTTCTGGGTGGGGTGGGGGACAGAGGTGGCTGGGAGCAAGGAGCTTTGTGGCATGTGTGGGGAAGGCGGTGGATAGCAAGATTCCTGACAGCTGGGGGGTCTCAAGAGCACATTGCTGCAGGAAGCCGGGGCTGAGGCTTCCCAGCTGCAGAGGCCGCGCTTGGCTTGCCAAGGACAAGAACCATCTGGAGGGAAGGGCCTGGGTGGCCTCAAGACGAGGTAATTCCAGGCCAAGGCCACCTCGGGCAGAGCCACGGCAGTCGGGCAGAGAAGCTTTCACTTCTCTGTCGTCTGCTCGGTGTTGTGCCCATGGGCCCCTGAGAGGCTTCTGTGGGCACGGCTGTTCTTTGGGGGCACCTCTGACCTGTAGCTTGTCACGGGCAGAGGCAGGACCCTAGCTTCCTTCTGGGAAGAGAGTCCGTGCACGTGAGGAGAGGCTGGTGAGGGGCAGGGGACAGTACGGGTGGCATGAGGCTGAGCAGCTGTGAAGCCGACGACGTGTGACCCATGCACAGAGCAGCCTGGGGTTTAGCGCTAATCCCAGGCAGTTGTGCCACTCTGGCCTCGCTGAGCTGTGGACTTCTCACCTCGGGGACACCACTGCCACCCCCTTGGAGAGAGAGGGCTGGCCAGGGCAGTGGGGGCTGTGTGTGTGTGTGTGTGTGTGTGTGTGTGTGTGTGTGTGTGAGAGAGAGAGAGAGAGAGAGAGAGAGAGGGCTGGCCAGGGCAGTGGGGCAGTGGGGGGTGTGTGTGTGTG